TATAATTGAAATTTGACCTTATGTTAATTAATTATAGCCTGTAAAAGGATTGCAATCATCTCCATTCCTCATTATTCGTAGCTGATTGAGAGACACATAACCAATTTTAAAACTATAATGGTTTAGATTTTTATTCATATTTATTTTGCCCCTCCCAAAATCGTCTTTTTTTTTTTCCTTCCTTTAATGATTTGAATACTTATGCTTAAAATTGATGGTGAAAAATAGGGTACAAAACCAAATTGAAAATCTAATCAAACCGCAAATCGAGTCAAATCGAGAAAAAATCCAACTAATGGTTTGATTTGACTTGGTTTGGAATTGAAAAAAACAACCCGACTATATTTGGGTTGGTTTGGTTTTAACAAAAAAAAAATCATCCCGAGACCAAATCAACCCGACATTATATATGTAATTTTAAAAATTTTATTTTATACATAAAAATATTTACTTTGATATAATTTTAAAATATTTCTTATACTATTTCATAGTTTTTATCTTTTAATATATTATTTCAAGTTTAAAACTTAGAATTCAGAATGGTCCTATAAAGATTATAGTTCATAGATGTTGATAATTATAATAAAACTTAAATCAAAATCAAAATTAATACTAATGTAAAAAGAAAATCAAATTCAACACTAAGAATGACAATAATATTATATTGAATATTAGTTCTTTAGTTTTACATTGGTTTAGACAATTAAAATACATAATCTAATTTTAATTTTCCTTAAATATTTAGTAATATAACTAATACTTATTAAACTTATTTTAGCTTAATTTAGTACTTTTAAATAAGAGGATGATCATTTTCATTATGACTTTGCAATATTTATTTTATATGATGATTTCATTATTATTTTTTATTGAATATTTTTGTGTCATCAGTACTCATCTCATATTTTGTGTTATTTTTTAAGAAACACCGTAGATAATTATATTTTGGTTGGACTAAAGAATATTTGGAGCACAAGTTAATTATATGTTTGTATTCAAACTTTACCGAAAAAATCCAAAAATCTGGAAAAATCCGAGGTTTATTAGTTTGGTTTGATTTATAATTTAAAAATTCGACACAATGGTTTGGTTTGGTATTTGAAAAATCCGAACCAACCCGAGGTTGAAAAAATCTAAAAAAAATCCAAATTTTATTAGTTTGGTTTGGTTTATAAATTTAAAAATTTTACACAAATGATTTGGTTTGATATTTGAAAAACCCGAACCAACCCGGTCATGTACACCCCTAGTGAAAAATATTTACCATCTGAACAATTTTATTTTATCTAAATGTTATCTATTTATATAAAGTAATTTATATATATGATCTTATAAGTCGAAAGTAAAATGCACCATCTTTATGTAATATAGTTATGCCATGAGTATTTTTTAGCATGAAATAAAAAATTATAATAAGCATATCAAATATGTTAAGTATATCTAGACTAAAGTGGAGCACAATTCACTCTACTACAAATTGGGTCATAGTGAGGGCTAAAATAGTACTTCCTTTGTTTCAATTTATGTGACATTTTTTGTGAGTCAAATATTTTAAGTTTGACCGACGATTTACACATGAAATCATCAAATATTTTGAAATGAAATTTATATATCTATAAACTACGTAAAAAGTACTATAAGTCACAATAATTGACAATTCAAAATATTTAAAAGAATGTATGAAAAATTTACAATCAAAGATAGACTTGTTTGAATCTCGAAATTCGAAAAGTATTGCATAAATTAAAACGTTCGAGTAAATATTAATTCACTCTACTAAGAATTGGGTTAAAATCAACTATCGGAGTTATTTTTAGAAAGAAAAACTGACGCCAATGGATGGACTGTACCTCGTCGATTTTGCATTTATTTGTTTCAGCCTATCCTGTCCATTGGTATTTTTTTTTTTTTATGACTTTTTGAACAATTTTACCACTCAATCGTACATGCTCAACGATGATATTTTTATTGTTTTTATTTATACTATTCAATCGCAATTCTTTTACTTCAAAAACGAATCTATCGATTTTTGTAGAAAAAATAAATCGAGGGATTGCATTGATTTTCTTTTTAATTTTTAGTCTTTTTTTAATATAATTTTCGTGTATTTTGACATAAAATTGTCGATGGACGTCCATTGATTTTCCTAAAGTTCGTTGGTTTTCTATTATTATTATTATTATTATTTTAGAAAAATAATAACCGACTAAATAAATTGAGCAATTTTTTGAATTGATCATGTCTGTGGTCGATTTTCTTTTCTTCGATTTTTTCGCACTGTTTTTAATAGTGTCAAAATATTGTCATCAAAATGGATCATTTACCTTAATATAAAAATAAGTTTCACAAAACTCACAAAGGGTAAAACTCATAAGTATATATTCGTGATCAATTGCTTTGATTTGATCTGATTGAGCCACTTCAAACCTTCTGACCTTTTTTTTTTTTTAACAATGCTCTCTTCGTTTTTTTTTTTTTAAATAATAATTATGCTTTTGCCTTTTTATTTATTTCGAAATAAGTGATGTTTAAAAAGGAATTAATCTTATTCTTTTAAAATTATCCTTATTTTAATACATGAAATATTACACCATTAAAGGACTCACTTCTTTTTTAAGACTTTTAATTAGGTTAAGTTCGTAAAACACTTCCTATTTTTTAGGAATTAAGTAGTTTCTTAATAAATTTGTTTAAATTAAAAACATCACTTATTTTAAAATAAGAGTAAGTATTGAGGATAAAACACGACAAGAATCAACTTGTATATTTCCTTGAATAGATGTTTCGTCCTTGACAACTATATATCAAGCATGATTCATAATTGCCATGTGTTGTTTGAAGACTAGTATCTTTCAACCAAAGAAAAAAAATATTACACTCTATTACCATGATCAACGGTAACAAAGTCGATTCCGTACCAGGGAGACTCAAATCCTAGTCCTCTAATTAAGAATGAAGAAGTACTTAATTATCACTCAACCACAATTCTGATTTGATGAGATTATAAAGTTAATGTTGATTAGATTAGATAAATTAGTTAGTTAGTTGGTTACGTTAGTGTTGAGTAGTGGCATAAGTGTAAATGATTAGTCTTTTTTTTTTTTAGTTAGGAAATATTTTAATCCTTACTTTACACATGTATAAATTGTTAAAAATCACTGGAATGAAAAATAATTTTAGTTTTCCAAATTCAGTTATGATATTATGTTGAATTCGTGGTTCAAAATCACTGCAATGAAAGAGAAATATTGTTAAACTTTTTTAGGAAAATTGAATTGATCTATAGTCAGTTGATACGGGGTGAATATATAAGGAACATATACACTTGAACAATTGTAATCGTTGATACAATTGTATAATTCACTCATACACTTAATACAAAGTGAATCCACAAGGAACATATACACTGTATTCCTTGATACAAACCAATTCAATTCGCCTCTCTCCTCTCTATTTCAATTTCAGTTGCCTCTTTCCTTTTTCTAACATGTAGCTATGAATCGTAATTAAGCATAATATATCTCTAAATCTCTTATTAAGCCGAAACTATGGGAATATTCGAAAAAATCCTTTTAAATATTGGTCCCCTCTCACAATTAATGATAGTTATAACTAACATCCAAATTTTAGTTGTACTTAACATCTAAAATTTAGAAAATAGTACAAGTTAACTTTTTTTTTTCAAAGCAAAAAGGTTAATATGATTTTTTATATATATTGTAGCCATATTTAGGTCACATGATTATGGCCATTTAGCAGCTAAATGATATTTTTGGTTCTTTGAAAATACTTGGCCTGTAAATACATGCTCAGTTAAATATCGCCACATCAAACAGAAGAAAATAATAATATGGAAAGAATATTAAAAGTACTGCAAAAAATCGAAAAAATAGTTGACATGAAAGATGGTCTTCCCAATCGAGGCTGGCAGGATAGCTACATTGGGAAATTTGGATTTGTGTGTTGAAAATGAGTGTTCAATTTGGCTTTTATAACAGTTGTCGTTTATAATTTGTAAAAGGCTCCCTACAACTTGGTAGTTACAATTTAATGCACCTTTTAAAAATACAAAAAAAAAAACCTATGCCCTAAACCCTAAACCTATAAACCCCTAAAAAACCTTAACCAAAAAAGCACAAATCCCTAAGCCCTAAAAACCTAGATAAAAGCCTTAACCTAAAACTTTAAACCTAAAAAAACCCTAAGCCCTAAACCCTGAATCCAAAACCCAATTCCTAAACTCAAACCCCTAAGAAACACTAAACCCTAAACCTTAAGAAATCCTATATCGTACTAACCCTATAAAACCCCTAAAAACCATTTAAATCGTATATGCTAAACCCTATAAAACACAAAAAACTCTAAGCCCTAAAGCCTAAAACAATAAAACCCTAGATAAAACCCTTAACCAGAGGCGTATCTAGAGGGGGTGCCGTGGGTTCACGTGAACCCATGCTCCCCTCTCTAGATCATATATAGTAGTGTTATATTTTTTTAAAAATATTTAAATATAGATGTGTGAATCCATGTTCAAATTATCATTTAATAATGCGATGATGATTGGGTGCACTTCTCTAAGTGAGAGATAGAAATTTAAAACTTATATCTATCTTGTCTCTTTGAGTAACACTTTTCCAAGTGGTTATCCGTTACACTTTTGTCGTTTCAACTAGTTTTTCTTTTGTTTTTTTCCTTTATTCTTTCAAAATTTTCAAGTGTGTTAAATTGAGAATTTCCTAAAAATTTAGCATTGTAAATTTTTATATAATTAAATCAAATGTGTATATTAAATTTAAAACCTAGTAGTATTATATATTTTGGACCTATATTTTAAACTTTAATGGTTCATATTACGAACTAAAAGTCAAATCGATCAAATTTTTATTTACGATACATTTTTTTGTAATCGTGCATCCATCTAACCAAAATTCTGAATACGCCTTTGTTTAGACATGTGTATATAAGTATATATAGACAATAAAAAGGTTGTATAATATATCATGAATAGTACACATATGTCTTCATTGGGAGTGAGAAAAGGTACATGGACTGATGAAGAAGATTTTCTTTTAAGAAAATGTATTGATAAGTATGGTGAAGGAAAATGGCATCTTGTTCCTGCTAGAGCTGGTAATTAAACTAACTACCATGCTATTTTATCTGTCTGTCTCATTTTATGTGACATTCTTTGTAAAATCATGTGAAAATGTATGTACGTCCAGGTCTGAATAGATGTCGAAAAAGTTGTAGACTGAGGTGGCTGAATTATCTAAGGCCACATATCAAGAGAGGTGACTTTGCTCCGGATGAAGTGGATCTCATTTTGAGGCTTCATAAGCTTCTAGGCAACAGGCATGCTAGTTTATGTTTTTAATAAATTTGATTAATATAATATATATGTGTGACTATTTCATCTAAACGTTACGTTATTATATGTAGATGGTCACTTATTGCTGGTAGACTTCCAGGAAGGACAGCAAACGATGTGAAAAACTATTGGAACACAAACCTTCTAAGGAAGGTAAATATTACTACTAAATTTGTTCCTCATGAAAAGATTAACAATAAGTGTGGAGAAATTACTAAGAATGAAATAATAAAACCTCAACCGCAAAAGTATTTCTCAAGCACAAAGAAGAATATTACAAACAATATTGTAATTGTGGACAAGGAGGAACATTGCAAGGAAATAATAAGTGAGAAGCAAACTTCATATGGATTGATGGAAAACGTAGATCAATGGTGGACAAATTTACTGGAAAATTATTGCAATGACGATGTTGAAGAAGAAGAAGAAGAAGAAGAAGCTGTAACTAATTATGAAAAAACACTAACAAGTTTGTTAAATGGTGAAGGTAACTCCATGCAACAAGGGCAAATAAGTCATGAAAGTTGGGGTGACATTTCTCTTAATTTACCACCCATGCAACTAGGAGAAAATGATGATTTTTCTGCTGAAATTGACTTATGGAATCTACTTGATTAAAAGAAGTTGTTATTGTAAGCTTGTAATAGGGATACATTTTTTCTTTATACTTTGTATCCCAACTACAAGTTGTTAGGGAAGTAATGTTGTTAGAGTGGGTTACCATCCACATACATTCATAAGGGAATGAACTGGTGGTAATTTATTTGTATGGATTTGGACAAACTTTTTCTTCACGAGCTAACTTATGGAGTTGAGTTAGACCCAAGTTTCATATATCTGGAATTAATAAGTGCATATGCACTATGATATTATTCATGTGATTTTTAGGTTATTTATGTGATTATATATGTGCAACGTATTTATGCTACTTCCTTTAGTCTTATATATATTAAATGAAATGTAAGAATTTTTTTCATCATATTTACATCATTATTTAGTGAAATTCTTCATTATTTTATATTTTCTAGGAAAATATTTTGAAAATAATCAAAAGAATAACAATGAAATTTCACCATGTGTTTGGCCATAATATTTGGGAAATATATTTCACCTTTTTAAGAAATATGATTTATACACATAAGTTTTAAAAACTATCAAAACTAACCATATGTTTGTATTACATAGCACATAACTTTGTTATCCTAAGCCGATTGTTATCATTTTCATCAACAACCATATCATCACTTTCATATTTCATCACTGCTTTGATGTTCACGTAAAAATTATATATGTAAAACAATGCAAACAACTACTATAGAGGGTGTTCTTGTAAAAGATAAAAGTTTGGTGTAGAATTTGAATTATTAAAAGCTCTCAAATAATGAGACTTGGCCCAAATACTAGTTTTTTTCTAGTATTTGAGAATTTGGGTTATTTGCCAAAAATATTTGCCAAATAAGGGCAAATAGTATGGACAAACACTATTTGCCAAATTTTTTCCCAAATTTTATTTGGGAAATCCATGGCCAAACGGGCCCTAAGTATACTCCCTTACGACCTTTCCCACCAATGATGAAATGATAACGAGGGTCTGTTTGGAAAGGCCAGGTAATTGTAATTGGTGTAATTATTAAGGTGGTACTTATTATCTTACTAATTACACAATTTAGTAATTACGAATTTACGATGACATATATATTTGTCACAGAGTAATTACAAGTGCATTGTTTGGTTTCACAAATGTGATCATAATGTTATATTGAGTTTTAAAAGTAAAATTAATTATCTAAAATAAAAAAATTATATTATAAAAATAAGGGTCTTTATAATAATATTAAATTGAATATTATATATATATATATATATATATATATATTGTCTTTTGAAAATATATTAATTAATAACGAACATTAATAATGTAGTAACATTAATAATGGAGAAAATGGTCAAAAGCCCCCTCAATCTATAGTCGGATTCCCAACTACACACTCATACTATACGGAGGTCCTATTACCTCCCTGAATTATATATAATTGAAATTATTACCTCCCTAAATGCTTACATGGCAAAGTGAGTGTATTTCACTCTCTTTGAGAGAATGAGCAGCCAAAACAATATTAAAATTTTGTTTTAAATATGTTATTTCATAAATATTTGTATTTTTAATTTTATTTTATTTTTAATTTAATTTCTTTCTTCTCCATGGTAGCATATGTCAAATCTCTCCACCCTTATCATCCCAAAATCGCCGCGCCATTACCGTCATCTTCACCGGATTCATTATTGTAAATTTCTAACAACTCTCATGTAAAAATTTTGAAAAAACAATCAAATCCACCATCTCCAATCACCAAAAAATAACTTGAATCAAATTTGAAAAATCAATCTGGGTTCAAATGTAATTGTACCCTAAAAAGAAAAATTAATTTTTACATGTAGATCTAAATCCATCATGTGTTTTTTAGTTTGTTTTCTAGATTCTCGACAAGCAATTACCTTCTCTTGATTATAAAAACTCCATCACATAGACTTATAAAATTATGAAAATATCCACAAACATTAATTAGACTCATAGTGGTCTTGGTGGTGGTGTAAATGTTCTCTTTTTCGATCTTTATTCTTTGAAAGAAATGACGGGAGCTCTTTAAGTAGGTGGAGGAGCTAATGGTGAAGGCGGATAAATAACAAAGGCATATATAGATGGAGATAGTGGTGGCAACGAAATTCTCAGACTATGCCGATAGCGGCGACATATCCCTCCGAAGAAGACAAAAGTGACCCCCCAATTTAACCCCCAATATTTTCTCCAAATCAAAGTTCTCAAAAAATAATTAGGACTAAGGAATGAATGAAGAAGAAAGAGAAAAAAAATGTCTTTTAAAAAAAGATCTACAGGTGAAAACACGTGTCAAGCGCGTGTGTTTCACCACAAGACACATATCTGGGTATGACGTTTTAAGTGTTGACACCTAATTTTGACCCTCCCCGGTAATAACTAATTTCGAGCTTCTTAATTTTCAAACGATTTAAAGTAATCAATTTTAGAAATTTTGAAAAAATAAAAATAAAAATAAAAAAATAAATAAATATATATGTAATAGAATAGTTTGCAAGTTATTTCAAATAAGTTTGTCGCTTGTTATAATTTTTAAATAATAATGTGTCTTTTATATAATTATGTATATAATTAGTGTATTTTATAAATATTAGAAAATCGTCTCAAAAATATTTTATTTTAATTAAATATTTGGTTAATCATTTTTAGTCATATAATAGCTTATTGTTAAATTAAGTAGTTTATAATTAAATTAATTATTTTATTTCGTTAAGATTAAGAAGATCGTTAATTAATTAATATTAATTCATCTTATTTAATTATTAGCCAAATTTATTAAATTTGATCAAGTTGGCTAAGCCTTAAATTTAAATTGCCTACCACAATAATTCCTAGCCAACCAATTAATTCCAACCCAACCCCACCATTTTCCAGCCCATTCCCAAACCCATTCAGCCGCAATACAATACACTATCAACACCATACAACAATAACATCCCAACCAGCCCACTCTTAATTCCCACGACCCAGCCCATTACTCCTATAGCCCGACCCAATACATAAAAAATACCCAGCAAACAACATTACAACCGACAACAACTACATCACAATAGCAACACAATAATACACGGCATCTTCACATCGTGAAGACAAAAAACGACAACATCACAGCGGCAACGATGACTCCCAAACGGCAGCATACGGAACTCATCACGGAGTCGAGATGGAGACAAACGGAAAGCATTCCGCGTGGTCTTCTCGCCCAGACAGTACACTTGTACAGCAGGAGCAGCCTGCAAAATCATCCTCATCATCCTCGCAGCCACGAGATCGATCCACGTCGTCGCTCCAAGGACATTGAACAGATCCCAGCCATTCGTCTCACCCTTTCCTCTTCGGGAATAGGTTAAAATTTCATAAAAGGGGTGTCTCCCCTGATTTGTGAATGGATTTGAATTTTAAATGGCCTCTTGTCCTATCCGGATTTTGGATCTCCTTTCCCCCATTTTTCCAAACGGAAATTTCCCTCCTATATATGGTCATGTATTATTCACTAAGGGATTTTTTTTTTAGTGGTAAGATTTTGGGTTAGAGACAAGTGTTGAGAGAAAACTTGAAAAATAAAAAATACAAAGGAATCGGTTGATTTCTTTTTGAGACAGAAATACGCACTGAAATTCCTAGTTACATTTTTGTTTAGGACTTCTTGAAACCAAGATTTTCGTTTAGTCATTACTCTTGCTATTTCTTGTTACTCATCGGAATTTTGGGAGTCACATCTTGGTGGTGAAAGACTGTTTCCGTCCAGCTCACTGATTGTTCTGTTCGCTGCCTCGAGCAAGGTAAACTATTCGCGACTCTTTCATTCATTTTGAGTTCATAATGTTGAATCGTGTTTGTCCTCTGTCGATTCAAAGAGGATTTCATATGATATGTTCAAGTCTATCTGTTTCTTCGTGTTGATATTTCTGAATCTGATATACGTGTGTTTCGTTTTCGAGAGGATTTATCGTCCATCCACGCTTGCTTTTCCCTGTTTATGGCTCTTCTTGAGTTTTCTGGTGGTTGTGCCCATTTCATTTTTGTTTGTCTATTTGTTGGTCGTTTGGACACTGCTTCATCCCATCTTGTTGAAGTCGTTTTGGGTTATAAATGATGCACTTCGGTACAAGACACATCTTTTGATTTCTTCTATAATTCACGCATGTTGTAGTTGTTCATTATTAGTATGGACCCTGTGTTTAGTCCAAATGAGCTTTCTCAATAATATGCGTATTATTCACTATTTGGGGCCATATACCAATTAAGACTGATTTATCGTTCCAATATATGCCTTAAGTGAGGCGGTTTGCCTCTTTCGAGTTGTGATCTATATAAATTTTACTCGCAAGTAACGCACAAATCCATTTTTTTTTTTACTGTTCGTGATATCTGGGAGCTCCACCTTTCTTTTAAGTCTTGGTAGATTGAATAAATATATAATTATAAATGCAACACCATCTGTTTAGCCGTGGTTTCTCCCATTTCTTTTTTTTTTAAGCATATTGCTAGTTGTTTAAGTGAAGTATAAAGTCCCACTTGGCCACTTCTTTTCCCGTGTCTTGATCTTATTCTCCTTTTACTGCTTGGCATGGCGTGTTGTTAAGTTTATGCCTTGATTTCGTTTAGATTTAGTCGGAAAATGTCTACTGCTTTATTTTTTCTTAGCTTGATTATTACATAATTGTGGATGTTATATTTACTTGTTGAATGGCGTGACATAAGTCTTAATGATAAGCTTTCTTTAAATCTTGATGAATGTGCATATTTGGGGTATGTTGATTTCTTATTTTATTTTTATTTTTATTTTCCTTAAAATTGATACGAATTGAGTTGTATCTTGATGGCCAATTTTTATATTTTTTAGTAGGATGCAAACTGTTGTGTGAGTTAGCATCTTCCTTTGTTCCCTTATTATATTATTATTAATTATTAATGCATTAATCTCTCATTTTGCCTTAAGTTACAGAATGTTGAGTTTTTTTTTTTTTTCTTAGTTTATTTATTTTATAATTACTGTAGTGGTTGTGTCTCTATTTGCCTTTAGTTATAGAAACCTTGATTTTAATTAGCTTATGTTTATTATGATGTCTCCTCTTTAGACAATTGCTTCGTCTAGTATTTTCCTTAAATGTTGCTCCGTAAATATTCATAGCATGTTGGTCTATTTGCTTTCAGATTTAATATGTTCAATTTCTTCTTGTTACGGGTCCAGTTATGCTTAGCTATTTTGTTAAAAATCCATTATGATTAATTATTTATTATTATGATCTTGTCCTTTGCATGAACTCC